GCTCTTTTTTTGTTTGTTGCTCGTTTTTTGTTTGTTGCTCGTTTTTTGTTTGTTGCTGATTTTTTTTTTTGTTCTTGTCGCTGTTTTGTTTTGTTTTTGTGCTGGTCGCTGTGTTTTTATTTTTTTTTTTTGTTTTTGTTTCCCTTTTTTGTTCTTCTTTTTCTTCTTCCTTTCATCCCACGCTTTATAGGGTGTGTGATTAAATTCAGATAGGGGATATTTTGTTCATGTGACATGTTTCCGCAGGCACCCTATACTGCAAGACATGTTCCATTCCTAAAGAATCTGAATAATAAGTAATAGAATATTGTGCCTATATTATACTCAAGCCGTTATCTGAGCGAGAATGACTTCATACGTTGAACCCTATTGCTTCATGATAAGGACAATATGACGTATGCGAAGTTAGGGGCTTTATTAGCAGACTACGTTCTAAAAAGGGGTCTAGTGGGGGATCAACAAGGATATAAGGTAATTCATTGTGAGGGACACATGGAATGAGCAGGCGCCTACACATATGTATGTGTATACGCGCACGATAGGCACGGTACTCAGTTTGCAGTATACATATATTCACGTTACTTGAACGGGACGCATATGCCCGATGTGAGCATAGCATCCCGGGTACAGAATGTAATATAGGACAGGGCAAAGTGAGCATCGTCCTGTGACAAAAGAAATATGGCATATATGTATTCGCTTCCGCATTACTCCAATTGCAGAAAAGTTTATGGAAGGATATACAGGCACAACTGGAGAAGTTTATACAACATTTGGAAGACCATAACCTAGACAGCTATGCTGCTAATTGTTCGAACAAGGGTTACAGGCGTGAGGGGAGGGCAGAAATATTTTTGGTAACGAAGGTCGCAGATAGACTTATGTGCACACTAATGACAGGAGCATTATATTTCATGAATGGCTGGAGTGCGCCGTCCGGCGGCTCGCACAATAACGAAGCTCATAATGAGGCGTTGAAGGAACATATAAGGTGCGCAATAGTAAATATATTTATGTACATATTACTGGCATCTCCATGCAAAAGTGGACTGGGCATAGATTATGCATGGTACACGATGAGAAAGATGGAGCCAGAACTAGGGAGTGGTTTAATAAACCAAGGTAAATGTGGCAAGGGAGTGTTTACAGATATAACAATCGAGGACTTCCACATGGGAGACAAGATTACGAAATGGTTAAAGAACAACAAGACGTTGAGTGACAAAATTGGCGGGCCCGAAATAAAAAGCACATGTAGCAAGAGATTAGCAGACCTTGTGGGGAACAAGCAGGATGCAAATGACATGGATGACAAAATACAACTGCAGCAAGAGGAGAAGGAAGCTATACGTGAGTTACGCCAAGAACTGAAGGTCATAGTGGAGGAGGTAAAGAAAGAAGTTACGCAATGCGCGAACGAACCTGGACCATGCATGGAGCCTATCCACGACGTATCCAGCAAGGATCCTGAGAATGACCACAGTAAGGCAACAGTATCGAACTCTGTCGCCGGCGGCACACCAGCACCAAACGTAGCGGCAGGTAAGGACCGATGGGAGACAGCACGCATACGTACGACTGCGCATACGGATGGATGCCGCCATCACAACAAAACACGCACGGCCACAACAACGCACACGCGCTGACGAGTGTAGACGAGTACGGAGCGGGACGGCGATAAATAAAAGTTGTGCTGCTACCATCCATCCCGACCCAGTCAACCGAGTTCACCGAGTACGCAGTCCACCGAGTCGCACCCTACCGTGCCGCTACCTGACGGCACCGTCCCGGCCCCCTTCTTTCTGTACCACTGGTGTCGTTTTTTTTTTTTTATCATCTTTCTCATCCATCTTTCGTACATCCCCAACTTAGGTAAACCACGTGCAGGACCCGAACTCGCGCATACCGGAGGAGGGTCCACAACGACCACACGACCCGCATCGCAACCGCCAGCACCGGCATCCCCAGTAGTACCCGCATCACCACCGGCACCACCTCCACCAGCACCACCAACTCCAGCAACTGCACCACCGGCAGGAGAAGACGGGAAAAAAGGAGCAAAGGGTGAAGCAGGTCCAACCGGACCACAGGAGGCTCCCGCATCAGGGGCAGCTGCTGGACCAGCTCCAGATAGTAAAGGTAAGATGAAAGAAGACTGAGGGCGAGGCATATAAGAACGCGAGGGTACGTGTAAGTGATTAAAGAGAGAAAGGGAGGATTCATACTTATATGCACACCCCTGGGATAACCAGAAACAATACCACCAACAATGCCTTCGCCCACGCCAGAACCACGACAACCGGGATCGTCCGCGGTTGGAGACTATAAGACCATATGTGAAAACACGGACTCAGGTCCACAGAGCACTACTGTAATATCCTCCGGTGATTCAAGTGTTCGTATTACGCCTGTTACTTACACTTCTGGGGCGGAACCACCGTGTAAATTCCTGAAGGAACTCGCAGAACAGGCGGAAAGACCAAGGTCCACCCCGAAAACTGTGGACAACACAAAAAATGCTACACGAGACCGTGCTCCCAGCGGGGAAACTAATGTACAAGGTACTCGAGTCTTTCCCATTACTGCACAGCAGGGTACACATACCCTACGACCCATATTATAATTGTAGAACACACAAAAGCCACACACAATTTCCGGCGCGAGCGCCAGAGACAACACGGAGCGAGCGAGAAACCAAACGTCGAATGAGAATGATGGCGGCAGAGCGACAGCGATGAGTCGGTCGCAGGATGTAGACGTAGACGTCGACAGACGTCGACAGACGTCGACAGACGCCGACACACACTGTGTGTTGTGTTGTGTGTGTTGTGTGGGAGAGAGAGTCTTTTCCCGGAGTGGCATCTTGCTCCGACGCCTGCCGCCGGCCGTGTCCTGCCACCATCTCCCCGTGCCATGGCGTGCCGTCCCCGTGAAACGGCGCGACCGACAACAACCGTGTAGCTGAACGACCGTGTGGTCATCCATGCAACCGACCACAACCGTGTGACGCACCCACAATCGTGGTCAACCGTCCGACACATGACTTCAGTTTCTTCCTTCCACCCAAATTATCAGGTAACGATTCTACTGAGAAATCTCCTAGACCCGCAGTAGCAGCACCAGCAGCGGCAGCACCGAAGGCAGAACCAACGCAAGAACCGTCACCACCAGCAGAAGAGAAGAAAAAGGACGATGTAGGACCTGACGATAAGAGCAAAGTCACGGGCAATTATGAGGCCAAGGACTCCGCAGCCCATGAACCTGTGAAGGACGAAGTCCAAGCAACTTCTCAGGGTACTGGCCAGGACAATAGCGCCCCCGGTTCCTCGGTGAACAGCAGTGCGGATGACCCCCCTCCTCTGAATCCACCCAAACCAAAACCAAACCCAAACCCAGATCCATCGGGTACAACCGGTAGCGGCCCCGGCGGCGGCAGCAGTACAGAGGATTCATCTAGTCCCGGTTCCACTGGTCACCAACCCCCTGGTTCCTCCGGTCCTGGCTCCACTGGCCACCAAAACCCTGGTTCCTCAGGTCCAGGTTCTACTGCTACTGGCTCTACGGGGACTCTGCAACCGGGTACCACAGGAGCTGGCTCCACAGGTGTCCAAAACCCCGGTTCCTCAGGACCGGGCAGTCAGGACACAGGTCAGGGCGCTCCCTCTGCATCCACCTCCCCGGACGGTAATGATAAGACACATAAAACTGCTGATGATCGCTTTGGACTTGACCTAAATAATCCTGGCTCTGCTGTACTTGGTAAAGTCGGAGGTGCATTTGTCGAAGGTATACCCCCACTAGTTTACCACGATACAAAGGGTAAGGGGCCCGATAAGAACCCCGACAATACTGTCCCCCCCATCTTCACTGCACAGGACATCTTCCTTTCTTCTCCTATGCTTACCTTCTTTGCATCGGTCACTTCCCTTATCCTGCTCTTTTTTCTTGGCAAGGTAAGCACACACACACAACGCACCAATATAACCGAGTGCAAATGCACATGCGTTGGTACTGCCGCACTGTTCCCACAAGGAACTATAACCAACTTCACTGATTGGAGGTTACTCCAAAAAAAAAAAAAAAAAACGCAATACGGACGTGCGTTCCAAAATGCTGATACACGTACATCTGATGCAAGTAACGTTGGGCTTGTGTGACACAATATATTAGATATTTGGGTGTTCATGGGAAAAGGATATGAGTACGATGGTATGCAGTATTGGTATATATATGCTCTTGTAATTATACAGGTTTATTTTTCCGGAA